TCTGTTTATTTTTGTTGTCTAGTGTTGGTTTCTGAGGGAGACATGGAGAAATGGAAAAAAAGGGAAATGGAGCTAGCCCAGCAGAAACAGAAACCAATAAGTAAGCAACTGAAGTGAATGGGTGAATGTCTTGAATACTGTATGAAGGTCATGCATATTATTAGCAAAGAATGTTGCAAATATGTTATACTTACCTTTCCGTGTACAGTAATGAAATACAATCCTGTAAGCTATGTGAAGTTACATGAAATTTAACAATTCATTAAAGCAGTAGTAGTAATATCTTTATCTGTTCTTCAGGCACTGTCTGTAGATGGAAAAGGGACTACATCATCAAGCTGATTCAGTTCTACAAGTTCAAGTAAGAGTTTGTGTTTATGTAAGACTATATGGTAATTACAGCTGTCTTTAAGTGCCCTGCTGATGTGCTTCAATATGGAAGCCTAGGTTTGATTACAGTAACAGCATAGTTTTGAAGGAAACCGTTACAATGGTTATAAATTAAGAGTTGCTATAATACTGCAGTAATTGATTATGGTGTGATTAGTAATCAATTATCACCAATGCCTCCCTAATAACGTATACAGTCTTTGGTCAGGGGTGTACCACAGTAATGCTTTCTGCTTGGTCCCTAATGCATTTTTGTGCTGTACTTTTATTTTTATTTTTATGTATAGATCTGGGAATCGTGAGTCATCCATGGAGTGTGAAACAGAGTAAGCTAGCAGTAATCGGTCACTGCACCAGGCTATCCTAGCATTGAACAAAAATTTTTCAATCAGGGACCAAGAGTACTGTGAAGGTGTTAGAAGTATAAGTGTTGTACTGTTTTGACGGTATGATATGTGAAAGTGTATGTCGATGTAGAATGTATGTTAGATATACGTTGTATATTATTTATGTTGTGTTGTTTTGAAGATATAATATGTGATGTGTAAGTTTATGTCGATGTAGAATGTATGTTAGATGTTGCTAACATACACTGTTATGCAAGAAAAAATTCAGACTCGTCTGACAATAAAGTATAAAGTAAAGTAAATTAATAACATTTATTTTCTGACCGTTGTAGAATTGAGGACTCTCTGCTGAACATAGAGAAAAAACACCGGATTGGGAGAAGATGGCAAGAATCCGATTCAGACTTCCAGTCTACCCTTAAAAATGTGGACTGTGAGCTCAGAGGGCAACTAATCTTCAAAGCTAGAACTGAATCAAGGGAGAGAGCAGTCCTCCTCCATCTGAAAAGAAAATATCCAGGTAAAGTGCTGTGGATACGTAGATACATTCAGATATTGCGTTCAACTTTGAAAAGGACCATAATACAAACTAATAAATACATTTCTCTGCATGTGTGTTTCCTAACTTTGCTACAGACGGGCAGGGCATTGCCATTAGACTTTCCAAGCAGATTGCCAGTTCCAACAAGAGACTGAGGCAGGCAATAAATGAATACAACCGGATTCAGTGGCCACCGCAGAGGAGCATCTTCCCCACAATAATTGATTTTCAGGAAGCATGCGATCCCTCTTGGCAAGTCTACTTCTGCTTTGATGACACTGTAAGTATAATAACCACTGTAAGTATAGACCATTTTACAAGATGTAAACAACACTGGTCCAGAAGCACTTCCTGTTTCAGTTTGTAACCGTTTTCTTTATTTCACATGTAAAGAAAACATCTTAAAGATGTTTGTTTAACTTTTTGATTCAGTTTTAAATGTTCTGTTGGTTGTATTTTATCCCAGCTTTTATGTAGTGTTAAAAAACTGAAACAGGAAGTGCTTCTGGACCAGTGTTGTTTACATCTTGTGAAATGGTCTATATATAACCACACAGCAGTCACTCTAGAAACAATCTGACAACCACTTACCAACCCCAACTACCTGCCAATCAGTTTTGAAACCACCTGGTAACATGACATAGCTTTTTTAAATTTATTTTCTCTTTCAGATTGAAGACGATAATGTTTCGAGGAGTCTTAAACGGCGAGCAATTGATGCCATAAATATGAAGACTCGAGCAACTGAGGAAAAGGGCATGCTGTACCAGGAAATGAGAAATATTACTGAACACCTCCATCAGCAGCATGCCTTTCTTTGCTCTGCCATTAAAGACACAGATCAGCCTGGTGCAAAAGCTGCTCTCACCCAAAGACTCCATCAGGTGGAAAGAAAACGTCATCAAGCAACTGTGATGTTTCACACACATGTACAAGACATTGTCCCTGTAGACAACCCCTACTTGTGTCAGGCCCTCCCCATGTCAAGCATAGAGACTCTAGTGTACAATGAGGATGGTGATGATGATAATGAGGATGACACTGAGGATGACCATGATAACTAGGAATGGTACTGGTATGACAGGACAGGGCCTGTATTTACAAAGCTCACAAAGATGTGTTTTACTAGGTCTGATCTATTTTAAAGCTTAGGTACTGTATTTAAGCACATATCGACACTAGTATGCGAGTACAAAATTGTGTGTTTACCACTTGTGATATTACGTATTCATTGTAATGTACAAATGTGGTCATGTGTGAGAGTTTGTTTTCATGAGTTGAAATGACAATAAATTTATTGAAATGACAAAGTATTGAATCTTGAATCCTCTGTATCAACTTTAAGTTTGTCAAAAATAAAAGGGAACATACAGATGTAGTGACTCTACAATACACCTTTCTCATAATGAGTTAGCCATGTTTTCAACCATTGTCATAGCACTTATTCAAAGCACACATAAATTAAATAAAAAGTAACTTGCTTAATAAAATGACACAGAATGATTTTACAGTCAGAATCAACATAATCTTCTAACATAACGGTGCAGTAGGTTCTTTTCTTCTTCCAATGGACTGCTTTATTTTCACAATCTTCGTTCAGTGAATTTAGACCTACATAACATTTAGTTTTATCTTTTGTATTTAGTTGCTATGGTGGTTGCTAATTGACGCCGCTATAGCTGAAACCACGCATCTTGCATGACGTCCTTCCGCCCGAAATTATTTTATTAATAGACAATTTAAAAAATAATAATAAATTCAACATTTGACCACAGAAAAACACAACTTGATAACTCAACAAATACGATATGTTCGTGTTAAGGTTAACACTTTTAACAAATACTCCTTCGATTCTGAGAAGTGCATCCGACACGGAAGTGCATTGTGTTGTGGGCGGGCTTTACAGGTTCTCCTGTTTCGGCTAATATCTCTTAAATAAAACAACATATTTACATTTTCTTAACGTAGATCATCTAGATGCAGTGTAAATAATCGTTTGGCTATACTATATATTTGATATATGCAGTAGATATATGTTTTTACAACCCTAATTTTCAACCCTAATTTGCAAACCAGAAAAACTACAACTGCAGTGCCGATTTGTATCAAGCTGCATTGTGTAGCTATAGGGAATTGTAGTTTTTAAAATATAAGTGTTTCTCTTGGAATGGGAGGTTGTAAATAGTTAGTTGAGAGTACAGTGAGGAGTTTAGGGGGATTGTAAACACATCTATGTAATCAGATTTTAAATGAAAATAATTTTTACATTTTTAAATAGGTTAAAATTATTTTTAACCATACTTGAAATTGTTCTAAATTGTTGTCTAGATTCACATGATAACTAAGGACAAGAGCTCTCTATAACAGTTGGTCCCATGTTGATAGCCCCTTTCATTGCTTAATTACAAGCGTTCAAACATGCACCAGGGTCATGTTTCAAAGGTCAGTATTTCAAAACAGGGGTCATGTAAAATCTTAATACTTACATATGTTACTCTCTAGGTCAAGACCTTTCTAACGATGTATTGGTTTAGCTCTACAACAAAGTTTTAAATTTATCATTTCACATACACAAGCCATCCTGGGTATAGTTTTAGAGAGCACTGTGAGAGCTCAATAGGAGTTGCCTATATGAAGCTTTTTGTTTGTTTGTTTGAATGTTTGTTTGTTTGTTTGTTTGTTTGTTACTCTGTAAACAGATTTACAACCTCACAACATAAGGAATATCGGGTACTGTACACACACACACACACACACACACACACTGCATTTATGTTTGGGTTTGGGACACACATGGCTTATATACATAGGCTTTCTTTTTATGTTAATGATGTTATGATGGTTAAATACCATTAATGATAAGACCATCATCTACATGATGGGTAGTCATTTCCTCTTAGGCTACTTGTACACTATTATTAGGCCTATTGATAGTCAAATACAAGAGTAGCCTACATTATAAATTGGCCCTTCCACCAAATAGGTGACATTTGCTTGCTGTATCTCTTCAAAATATAGCATCTTTTTCAACACATAATCTAATACTACACATATTTAACTATTCCAAATGTGTATTGGTCACTCTCAGACAACTTAAGTAATTACCAAGTGTCCAAGAAGAAGATGGATGCATGTTTTCTTAGTCCATGTTACCAAAACTCATGTGCCATTTGAAAAGCATGTCATTTTTTTTTATTTTATATATATATATATATATATATATATATATTCACTTCAAGAAAGTTTTTTTTTTTTTTTTTTAAAAGCAATGGTTGGTTATGTGTTCAAATAATTGCTATTTGTGACTAAAATATAATATCATAGTGACCGGCAGTACTTTGAATTGAAATGTAGTCTATCCATGGCAGACAACTCTAAACAGAAGTGGAACCCCCTTGCATAAACTGTCAATAAACTTTATTTCTCAGATCCAAGGAAACAATTAATATCTATATTATTACTTTGTAACATTTAAACACAGATAAAATACCCATCACATTTAATCTTAAATGTTAATCATTAAAAGAAAAGCATAACATGGTGAGTGTGAAAATACTTCCGAGGGGAACTACATCTTTCAAACTAGGTGGCTTCTTCGATACCAGCATCCATTATATATTTTTATTTAATTAATTGTATTATTGAGAGGTTCTTACTAAAACCAGGCCCTATTGAACTAATGATGAAACAGATTTATATATAAAAACAACATGTAGACTCAATTCAGTACAATAGAACTTTATTTGATCCCCACATGGCCCAGTTTAAAAGGGACCACATTGAAGGTGCCAACAAACGGCAACAATAAAGACAAATTGGGGTGAATCAAAACAACAAAAAGATCAGCTTTAATACAGGTTCATCAAGTGTATTTTAATGAAAAAGGTGAAAGGCACTTAATGCATTTTAAAATGCACATATATGTATGTATGTATGTATGTATTATGTGAGTGTGTGTATATATTTGTAGGGATGGGTTGGGGGCCGTCAACACAGTAACAATAACTACTACTAGATACATTTTGAATGCACTAAATAGCATAGGTTCAGGGTGTTTGCATGGTGTTTTGACTCTGGCAGGGAAGGCACATGTTCTTTTTAAAACCACATGCAGTGTGTGACCATGATTGGCACACTGTGCACTGTGACCATGAACGCCACTTCTTTCTTGCGTTCTTATTCTTGTCGTCAAAATGGATGCGGCAGACACAGCACACATTGTCTCCATCTACCAAAGGAAAACCACAAATATTTTGGAAGTCAAGCCAGTTAATTCGAAGCAACATATAAAAGGCAGCTTACTCATTTGTAACTGTTGCCAAATGCAAATGTGGATATTGCACATCAATTAATCTCAGATATTGCTAATGCTCAATCATGTAAAAAAATGTACTGGACAACACCCTTTGCGCTTCTGAGATGTTTTTATACATTACTGCACGTTCTGCCTGGAATCTGCCCATTGAAATACTTAAAAGTGAATCTAGTTAAATGATGTTGTATCCTAAATGAAAGTATTGGAGGCTAATTTGTCACAGTCTAATGTTTTTTTTTTATCCATTTTAAAATGTTTTAGTCTATTCTTCTGTTTCCATATCTGTTCTTATTGCAGTATTGTAATCTGTTGAAACTGCTTATTTATATCCAGGCTGCTGCTAGTCTTGGCCAGGTCTACTATGAGGAAGAGCTCATTTGTTATTTTGTAACTTGTAAAAAGAGTAGTTCACTTTTAAAAAAAAAATTTTGCTGAGAATTTACTCCATAGATATCTATATAAAGGCTAGGTATCTCGTCCACGCTGCTGGCCAATGGAGGTCGACGTCTGCACCTGGCGGCCATCTTGTCACAGGCAGCTCGCTCACTCGTAACATTGTGTGAATGGTACATGTACTATTTAAATGACCATAACTTGCTCAATTTTCTACCGATTTTCAAACGGTTTGGTTTGTTATAATCGTCAGAGATGTAGTTATGACACAGCCTACTTATGAATAATAAGTGTATAAATAAATAATCATCCAGATAATTATCGCCACGTTAATAACTTTTGTAAGAAACCAAACCGTTTGTAAATCCGTCAAGATTTCAACGAGATAAGAGTATTTGTGTTCGTGTTGACCACTTCGTCACCACGCCTGTGACATATGGCCGCCGGTGATGACGATAGAAACTCCGCCTTAAGACATCTAGCCTTTATATAGATATCTATAATTTACTCACCCCCATGTCATCCAAGATGTCCATGTCTTTCTTTCTTCAGTTGAAAAGAAATGAAGGTTTTTGATGAAGACATTCCAGGATTTTCTCCATATAATGCAATTCAATGGGAACCAAACGGATCAAGGTCCAAATGAGAGTTTCAGTGCAGCTTCAAAGGGCTTTAAACGACACCAGACGATGAATAAGGGTCTTATCTAGGACCCTTCGAATAAGACTCGAAAAAAAGATTTGTTCATTTTGATGAACGAGTTTGAACAGGAGAGTCACGAACACTCATCACAGAACAGAGCAAGGCGAGCATTTGAGCTTATAAAACTTGAACTTTGTTATTTATTTTCTTTTTTTTAATGAGCGATCGTTTCGCTTGATAAGACCCTTATTCATCGTCTGGTGTCATTTAAAGTCCTTTGAACAGTTTGCACTAAAACTCATTTGGACCTTGAACCGTTTGGACCCCATTGAAGTCCATTATATGGAGAAAATCCTGGAATGTTTTCATCAAAAACCTTCATTTCTTTTCGACTGAAGAAAGAAAGACATGGACATCTTGGATGACATAGGGGTGAGTAAGTTCTCAGCAAAAGTTTTTTAAAGTGAACTATTCCTTTAAGGCAATATATGGTATAACATTCACTTCCTGTTAAATAAAAATAACCACAATGTGGAAAGATACCTTTATCTGCAGTCATCACGATGGCTACAGTAGTGGCTGTTTCTGCGGACTCTTCCATCTGTTGTGCACCTAAAGTACATAAAACAAAACACGATAATAACTTTCTAAATACATTTTTTTAATCTTAATTGCATATTCATAATTTAAACTGTAGGCATTTATACTGTCAATAGTTAATTAGTAAATCATTAATTAAAAAAAAGTTCCATTATTTGCATCTAAATCTCAACAGCCAATTCAAAATGTAAAAATTCCAGAATTCCAACCTTATATATGCCGTTTAATGTCACCTGGATAAATATTGTAGCAATAAATTGTAATTTTCAAACAAGTGAGCTTTTCTCACTGTCAATGGAAGACTAAGACAGTAGTTTTAATTAAGCTTGAACTTAAGCAATACCAAAAACTGATTTGTAACATTTGGTAAAATGTATTACGATTACATGAAATACCATTTTCACACATGGCCTCTAAAATTTCCTCCACCGACTTCGTCTGGATGCCATCCGCTGTGTCTGTTGATTTGAAAAGATTAAACCATCACACAAAGGTGAACATTTCATCTTTTGATTAATTGTATTATTTCAATAATGTATGCAGTAGTCAAATGTGCTGTGAAATGACCAGGTACATATCTAGTTAATAATGCCTCTAAAGTTTTATGTAATATATTTATTTAAAGATAAAATAAAAACAACTCAGCATACCTTCTGCATCCATGTGCTCTGACATCTCCTCTCCCAAGTCAGTGGGGTTGCATTGTGCTTCATCTGATTGATATATTTAGAAAAAAAGAAAGAAAGACAGAAAAAAACCCTTATTTAACATGACCTTAACAAATAACTGGCCTTCCTGCAATAGTACTGGAGGAAAATAATGAATCACACAGCAGTGAATATATCAATGAAGGAATGTAATTCGAAGGAATTATATACATAGACTTTAATTAGTGAATAGTTTGATGAGCTTAAAAAAGATGAAAACCATTGCCAAGGGCCACATTCACTAGTCACAACTAATCATCTATAGGATATTCAGGATGATGACGAAACTGAGATATTGTCACATCCCTTACAAACTGTCAAAGACACATACAGAATCTATAACTTGAATCTGTTTCAATTAAATTTTATTTATATAGCATCAATTCATGACAAAATTTCTCTCACAGCACTTTACAAACAGAGTAGGTCTAGACCATACTCTTTATAATATTGTTAACAAATACCCAACAATTCCCACCATGAACAAGCACTACTGTAGGTGACGGAGGCAAGGAAAAACTTCTTTATAAAGGGGTCATATGATGGTTATAAAAAATAACATTATTTTGTGTATTTGGTTTAATGCAATGCGTTTATGCGGTTTTAGGTTAAGAAAAGCCATTATTTTAGACATACTGTACATTATTGTTGCTCGCTATGCCACTCCTTTCTGAAACATGTCAAATTTGTATAAAGCTCATCATTCAGAAAAGCATGGTGTGCTCTGATTGGCCAGAAATCCAGTCCATTGTGATTGGCCCAAATACCTTATGCGCCTGATGGAAATATCACGCTTAATACCATATCTGGAACATCAGCTTTGTTATCGTTGAAATGACAAAGATGTAGTGAGAGCTCTCCCAGGTGCTATAAACAGTCCTCTGGAAATGCGCAGCACACAGTTGAATATTTGGGTTGTACTGGAACAGTGTTGTAAATAAAGCTTTGCACTGTTTTCTAATTGTGTCCTCTTTTAGAAAGCCAAACAAAGTAGTTGGACTTTTGCAACGAAAAACACAGAGTCTCCACGACATGCCGGCACGGATAAGAGTTATGCCTTCTTTGCGTATACATTTGGGCGGTGTTATGGAACTCTGCCCCCACATACTGACATAGAGATTGAGTGTTTTGAGTGGAGATTGAGTGGGGGAAGTGTTTTAAGAAGGTGTGGCTGAGCCTTCCCTTTTACAAAGAGTATCTCTTAAGGTTTGAGACTCTGATCTTTGTAACGCTACAGATCTTATACATGCACAAACAGCTACATAACATAAATTAAATGACCCCTTTAAGAGGCAGATACATCAGAACCATGGCTCAGGCTGGGCGGCCATCTGGCTTGACCGGTTGCGGTGAAGGGACAGATAGAGATGCAACGCCCCAAAATTATACAAAGACTTACATGTAAGCCTATATTATTCTTTAGTTAACTTATTTTCCCCACTTTGCATAGAGCCAAATGGTCTGCTAAAACACAAGTGGAGAAAGACACTGGTAATGGTAATGTCACTTACTTATTTCAAATGAAATCTCCTCTGCAGCTTTCAAAATTTCGACCAATTGGTTCCTTCCATAAAAGGAAGGCTTCCTTAGAGTAAGGCTTGTGGGCAGTCCAGATACATTAATTGTCATGCTCTGATTTACCAGGGACTGGTAGGGGAGCCTCCCAGTACCTCCGGCCTCCTCTGAAATACACAAGCACACATATGCATGCACAGATTACACAATGTTACACAGTTGGACAATTGTCACTCTCCCCTCTAGTTGATAGCCAGTCTACAGGCTGCAAACAGACATTTTGGTACGGTGTCAATCTAATGGTTGATGGGCACATTAGATAATTTATTCATTTGATAATAATGCCATGGATTCATGAAGGTATTAAACGTATTTGAAGTTATGCTTACTATATTTTTGGTTGAATAGATCTTGCACTTTTCCTACCAGAACACTGACATGTTCTCTGGTACTGGGTGTTGCGGGTGAGGAGCTGGCTACAGATGTAACAACAGACAACAATAATTTCATAAAACTTTATGATGTATATTTGCACTATTACAGGCCTGAGCCATTTTTTTGTGGATTTTTATATAACCAATACCTTTGAAATGCAGTGCAAAGTTGTTCACTGTCTCCGTTGAATCAAGGAAATCAGTGGCTCCTTTGCTGCTCAGTTCAAACACCTCTAATGTGGACTTTTGGCGGTCAAATGACAAAATGGCTGTTTCCACACCCAAATCCTCAAGCTTGGACACCTTTACAATATTTAAAAGAAGAAGACAACCACAAAAATAGTAAATACTTGATTATACACAAAACCTACTTTTAAAAATTCAACACACACTGAAGAAACAACTCATTACAGGGCTTGGCAATATATGAAAACAGTGTTGTCACATGTGTCAAATATGTGGCCAAAGACCACCCAGGGATACATTAACTATAAATTAGTTGTTTACATAGAGTCCAAATGCAATCATTTTTTTTCTTCTCATAGTAATTTGTGACTCCTAATGCTTGACCACCTTGATGTGAATAGATTTCCAAACCTCTAACTTCAGCTTCTTAAGGTGCATTTTAATTCGGGCATCCCTAATCTCAGGGCTAAGGTCCTGTGTCTGCCCATGTGCCCTCAGTGCCGCTGCCTCTTGAAAGTATTTTTGCTTTTCATCTTCACTCAATGAGGCCCACCTGCCCTTAATGTCATTCATTGTGCCTGAGGAAAAAAATAGATGCACAGAAAGCTTCACACTTTAGATTCAGCCTCCCTTTTTTGAAGTAAATTCATAAAAACGAAAATCTGTCCAACACACTGGTTTACTTGGGTTGTGAAACCCATTTCTCTGTAACAACTTTGTAAAAACCAGATAACATGTAAAGTAGATGACCTGATGATTCTTTTCAATACACACAGCAGTCTTACGTTGATGAATGCAACTTGTGTGAGTTAAGTTCTTGCCAAATACTATCTTGAAAATCTGTTTCATGTCCCTTGTAAACCCCTGATATCAACAGGGCTACTATGTACAAACGAATCATTTAGTATAATTAAAAGCAGCCATTACATTTTGTCTCTCACCTTTGTTTTTGAATATGTCCCTACAAAAAAGATTGTAAGGCGACAGCTCTCTGACATGAACTTTGGCCTTTGATTGCCGGGGTTCAGACGAAGCTTTTGTAATTTCTGATCTTTTGTAATTACCGATCCAGTTCTGAAAAACAAAAACAAAAAAAATAATGAAAGAGTATTACACCAACTAAACTGAATGTTAACAAAACACTTCATTTATACAAGCAGTGCAGCAGAATGATATATTCATTTGACAAGTTGTTTGTTAGTGTGGCACTTACAGTAAGTAAAACTTACTTCTATGACAGTGGTGTCCAAACCAGTAGCAGATGCAGCTCTTGGAATTAATTCTGACCCAACTCGTGTCATTCCATCCTTAAAAAAGGATTTCAGGGTTTCCTTTTGATTCCCATTAATGGGAGTTCTCTCTTGTTGAATAACAACAAATAAAGAAAAAGCTAGTCAGTAATAAATCAGTAATAATAAAAAAACAGAGTGTTGCAGATCATACCATCGCTCTCAGACACACTTGATTAATGCTTCTAGATTAGCAACTGCAAGGCTTACCTCTCTGGGCCATCTTCAACCTAAAACATAAACAGAATGTGAATGGGCCCTTCTCTCTAAAAAGGCCCAAACCAAATTTTGAATTGTTCAAAGACAGAACATGGAAGTAATAAAGCAAACTTACCACAGAAGTCCTTGCAATCCACTGGCAATTGATGCTGTAACTGTAAAGGGAGAGAAAAAGTTAGGTAAATAGATTTTAATGTTACACAGGCAGGAAGACAGATAGATTAATAGATTTTTTTTTTCAAGTTCAATGTCACGGACAGCAATAAATGAGACACACACCGACACCACAGTCTATACTTCTAATAGATTGTCAGTAACGTATTCGTCTTTTGCATGAATGTAATTGTAAGCTTCCTCGTGTGGGAACAAATCCCTCCAAGCTTTTTCAACCCCCCAAAAATTTTACATTCTAGTCATGATCCCGAGGTTCCCAAACAGAAATAAAATACGTCATGTGTTTGAATATTTCACTCATGTCAAGAGTAAGGTTGTGGAAAAAGTAATTTTGCAGGCTAACTTTACGTTTAACTAGAAACTACATTTCCCCAGTAGCCTCATGCGCAAAAACATGCTTATTTAGCAACTTTAATGGTCAATTAAACAAGCAAGCTAAAGGCTTTACGTAAACGTAATAACGTAATAGGGCCTAACGTTGGCCTGTTTAACGTTTACAAAATAATCGTAATACGCTTAACTTATGTCAACACTCATGTCACGCAACATTAAAACACATTTTATGTATTGTTTTCCATTATTGACTAATTATTACGGTATAAATGATCGGTTTTATCATTAAATGTTCTTACCTGAAAATACCAAGCGCGAAATATCATCATACGGTTATCTCATAACGTCACGCAACATTAAAACACATTTTATGTATTGTTTATGTATTGTTTTCCCTTACTAACTAATTAATTACCGTTTAAATGCTCGTTTTTTATCATTTAAATGCTCTTACCTTATCAAAAATCAAGCGCGAAATATTCCAACGTAGCTGCGTCATTCAGTAGACTTCCGATTACCGGCGAGCTGGATTCTGGGATTGGAGCTGGAGTCTTCTCCTGTATTTGTCGGTGATTAACCATGTGGATGGATGATAACAGCCTTCTGAGCCTACCAGTAGGCGCAGCAGGCCCCTACTGGCCCATATATATGGAATGATAACCACTGATAACGCCCATTCAATCGAGTGATAACATTCGAAGCGGGTGCACCGGCAATGTTTTACAAGTGGTAAGTGGGAAATGCAACAAATCGGCATTGAATTAGTTATCAGATGATATTAAAAGGCAGGGTTCTCAAGTTTGAGCAAAAGCTTGGAGTGAGATCACACGCGGTTAGGGGAGGAGCCATAATGAAGCCCCGCCTACCCATCCCCGCCCCCAATTTTATCCATTGTTCATAATTAACCAGAACAAATTAAAATTATAACAATTAGTAAATCTGATAAATGACAGAGCAATTCATCACATCAAATACTCTTTAATGCAGTATTACAAATATAGCTAACCAAAAATATAACAAATTGCTCCAAACAGTTTCAAACAAATCTTTAAAAATTGCATTTTGATTTTTGAATGCGTCTTCTATCTAGACGAATGATTTATTGTGTGGTGGGACATTGAGAACAAATGGACAGATTAGAGTGCACCACCTCTTCCACTGTCTCCTCCTCTAATCTGGCAACCTTTTTAGGGGGCTTACCCTTTGGTACCCAAAATGACAAAATATCTTTCTGCTTTTTTCCTGACATCTTTGAAAAATACAAATGCAACATTATGACAATGATTAAATATTACCCAGAGCAATCTGCTGTAATACATCCTTAATGTAACTAGAAAGACTATTAATATTACAGTATAATATAATTTAAAATAAAATCAGTAAATCTTCATTTCTTTCCATACCCACTAACATTTCTCTTAGTTTCAGATAACGTAAGATAGCCAAACTGAGCCTGGTTGCAAAGTAGTTGTAGAGTTTTTGACTGCATCAATAATAATGTACGATGGGCTACATATTAAATGTTCTTGTTCGCGCGATGTTGTTGGTTACCTAGTAACGAACGTACGGTGGCCGAGGATGTTCCGTCCATTTCCGTGTGTTCGCGCTACTGAATGACATGTCATCAGTGGTGCACGCAGCGCGCATATATGTTGCCTAGTAACGAACGCAATCTGGCGGAGATACGCGCTGGCGGCAGGAAACTTCACTTTGTTTGCCTGCGCCTCGTATACAACGTTAGAAAGCTTTCTATTGCCCTATGCTGCAATATCTATGCATTTAGTTTTGCAGTCATTTACAGAAATCAGCTGCTTGAATGACAATTACTGATTATTATTAGATTTTTCACGTGAGATTCTCAATTCATTCTGTGAACGGATGATCTGAGGTAAAGTTTTCAGAATGCAGACTCAGCAACGATTGTATTTAATTGTACAGTACAATAACATAGAACAGACATTATCTTCATTTCCTGTTATTAAACATAACAATATTGCTGGCCATACACTGATGAGAAAGTGCGCGTCCGGTGTTCGATAACGTTACTGGAGTTGTCCTAAACGTGACGCGGCGCTTCTCGTCCGGTGTGCGACCCCCTTTACAGCCAACAGTTCACATTCCGAGAATAAATGAAAAGAAGTGCTCCATTCCATAACAAATGCGCGAAACAAGCTGTCGTTTGATAGACGCTAACGCACAACTACAACTACCGCATTTGTCCAGGACTACACGTAGTAAGAGCGGAAACCGAGGTAAGCGGATATGACGCGATTGACTCGCGACTCCCAGCTCACCCCTGCTGACACGTGCCGTTTCCTTGGTTAAAATCTCAATTTTCTCGCGATTTAAACATTGTTTGAATCATTTGGAATATTGTGAGTTATCATCTTTACTAAATATATAACACTGGCCTTGTGATTTTGGGATATTTTAATGCAAAAATCTTAGGTATTGCACCTTTAATTTTGATCTCTCAAAGAGCACGAGATTGATGCATTTAACCTTAAAATGTACAAAATTCCCCCCTAGAGGAACAGAGTCAACCTAACATAGTTTTACAAATTTGTTAATATCTTTAAGGTTGCCTTTTTTTACTGCTGGCTGGGGAACTACCGATGAAAATTAGCTCTTTTAGCTAACTCGGGTACATTAATGTGTACACTGTCCCCCCTTACAAATAAATAAATAAAATGAAGAGAGGGAGTGTATGTGGGTGGTGGCAGTGGGGCTCATTGGGTGCTCAGCACCCCTAAAGCTCTGACCCTAGAATCGCCTCCATCCACTACGTATTGGACCATCCAGCTATGTTATCGTGCTACAGACTGCAGCGAGGACCTCTTGCCTCGGTTGCGTCTGGTGCCTTGGCCTGAGGCCGTAGTTTTAGCGTCTTGTGGAACTACTTGCCTAGGGATGTGTGCTTCTTGTAAATAGTTAGTTTAGTTTTACTTAGTTAAGTTAGCCCCTCCATCTCTCCAGCCTTAGCGTCTTGCGGGGCTGGCTGGCCTCGGCGCCTTGGCTTGAGGTGGTAGTTTTAGCGTCTTGCGGAACTACTTGCCTAGGGATGTATATTGCCAGTGGTGTAGTGCAGGGTATACGCAGGTATACGGATATGTATAACGTTTTTTCGAATGTGTTCGAATTTTTACTGTTTGTATAACTCCGCTTGTCTGTGATTGCGCCACTTGCATCATTAAGCCAGAGGGCAGCGACAAGTGACTGTCTTTATGAGTGAGCAATTGAACCATTAATTAAATTAAAACAGTTAGTCCAAAAAACATTGATTAATTTAGGAAAGAAAAGTAGTTGAAACTGGAACTGATTCTTATGTTTAAGAATCTGATCAAATAGGCTACTTCATGCTTTTAAAGCTACTGTTGTCAATTTTTTTGGCCATCAAAACACCTTAAAATGCTCATGTCGAGATCAGGAAAATCAAAATTTTCTCGGGGGTTGATCAATATCATTTATGGGACCTGGCATCTGGGTATTTAGAAAACCATATGTGCGGCCCTAATATGCAAGAATACTACTGATTCTATATGTTCCATTGTATTCATTACACTCTATATTCTATAGTCTTGCATATTGAATACTAATGCAAGACTAGTAGCCTTACATGTCAATGTTTATAACACAGAGCGTTCCTTTGCTGGGACGCTTAAAAAATATTGGGAGCATAAATGAAGAGTATACCCACTTCTCCAGGCACCACTACATCACTGTATATTGTAAATAGTTAGTTTAGTTTTAGTTAAGTCCTGCACCATCCAATCATATTTTTAACAATGGAGTCACCCAGAGCTTTCTGTTCAGCCTGTCCCACAAGTTCCTCGCACTGATGATGCCCTGGAAGTCTCTGCCACTGGCATCCGGGTCCCAAAGAAGGGGTTTCACATAGCTCTCTTTCTCAGCTGCCTTGGGCCCAGAGATCCTGCTCAGGGCTTCTCCAGAATTACCAGTGAAGATGGCCATAAAGTTTCCAGTCACTGCTGCTCCAAATCCTGCAAAGGCTCGACAGAATCACTGTGAAGGTTCATTCTGCTGCAACTCCAGTCCCTGCTACGGTTCTAGAGCTCTGTGTCAAAGAAGCTTAGGTTGCAAAGTTTCCCAGAGGTTCCTGACATGACTGCAAATTTCCTCCTTATGATGCCAAGGTTCATGCCACAGTTGCCAAAAAAGTTCCAACCAATTTATATATACACCTTTGTGCCACATTAAAATCGAAATGTTTCTGAAAATAAACATGAGTCGTTTTATCAGGGAAATATAATCATTTGGAAACATTAACCATTCCTATTATGCTTCAGTTCTAGACACATTAAGCCCCTCGTTTTACCAGTTTCATCAGGTAATTGATTGATTGATTGATTGACTGAAAATTTATTAATCCCGGTTGGGAAACTGGTTTGCCACCAACCGTACAACCTTAAACACAGTACACAACTAACAGACAAATAAATAAATAAATAAATATGCATTAAAAGAATGACCAAAACCTGATAAGACACAACTACAAGGCCTGGATGTCACTCAATAATTAACAATGTTCATTAAAATATCTGACTGCTGCTGGGACAAAAGATCTTCTCATCCGCTCACTAGAACACCGAGGTAGAACCAATCGCTCACTGAAAGAGCTTCTGAGTCCCCTAAACAAATTGTGTAGTGGATGGCCTTCAAAAAGCAGGACAGTTTTCAATTTTGAATGCATCCTCTTCTCCACAGTAACCTCCAGTATTACCAGATAAGTGACTGACTTCTCAAAGTAGAGTTACACTATAAAGCCCTCCATTTATTATTTGAAGACCAGAGTATCAACATGTGATTCACCTGCAGACAAGGTCCAAACGCCAAATCTGACTTTTGACTTTAAAGCTGGGTTATCTGATAGTGGCAGATACCTTTATAGGAAACTATGAAAATATTGATAATCATGAAATTCTATGAATAACAAATTCAAATGGAAGACATACAACCCTGAACAAAATGTTTCAACTTGCATATGGTTCAACTTACCTCAATGGGAAATTACCATTAGAAGAAGTGGTATTCTATTTTGTAACCCTCCAGGAGATCACAAACAGTCATAATGTAAAAATAAATTATTTTAACTCTGTTGCCTTTATGTAAAATTGCCATTGTAAAAATGAAGAATGAATTAAATTAGAACAAAGTCAGTCTTCTTAACTTCTCTATCAGTCTTTCGACCATTTTTTTTATTTGCTAACTCATTTGGGTGTGTATAATATTTTGCCGTAATTTCAAATAAAGTTTATTTTTTACATAATCTGAGTCTGAATTTATAACACATACAATAAAAGGGATGCCTTTCTCCAACCTTCAGCTACCATCTTTACACAACTTATTTACAACAAATACTCGCCATATTATAGAGTATAACAATATCCCTTCAGAATAAAGTGGTTGCTTGTTTCTTAATAATTAATTTCCTTGAGGAATCTTTTGATTAAGAGGAAGAATCAAATGGGCATGTTGAAGTAGATGAGGAAGGATAAAGGTCAAAACTGCTGTGTCATAAGGGCGTCCGATTCACATAAAACTCATTCCAGTATGTACAATGTTGATGGGTCAGGGTCTGTGACTATCTATGTCACCGAGGTGACAAAAAGGCAGGCGGAACCTTTTATCATGGCCGGGTTTCTGAGGGGAGGGATTTCCGGTGTGGGACCCGGAAGACTCC